CACTGCTCTATACTGATACAATTGATGGGATGATGAGGGGTAATTAGTATGATCACTCCAGTTGCTGGCGAAAGTCAACTGTAACCAGCATCTGGAGCGCTCATATTAAAGCAAACAGTATGGCAGTGGGGAAAGGGAATAGAATTCAGGAGGAAGGAGGTCCTGATCCCTCTATATAGATCTTTATTATCACTAGAGGGATCTCCAGCAGGAGGAAGGAAGTCCTGATCCCTCTATATAGATCTTTATTATCACTAGAGGGATCTCCAGAAAGAGGAAGGAGGTCCTGATTCCTCTATATAGATCTTTATTATCACTAGAGGGATCCCCAGCAGGAGGAAGGAAGTCCTGATCCCTCTATATAGATCTTTATTATCACTAGAGGGATCTCCAGAAAGAGGAAGGAGGTCCTGATTCCTCTATATAGATATTTATTATCACTAGAGGGATCCCCAGCAGGAGGAAGGAAGTCCTGATCCCTCTATATAGATCTTTATTATCACTAGAGGGATCTCCAGCAGGAGGAAGGAAGTCCTGATACCTCTATATAGATCTTTATTATCACTAGAGTGATCTCCAGAAAGAGGAAAGAGGTACTGATTCCTCTATATAGATCTTTATTATCACTAGAGGGGTCCCCAGCAGGAGGAAGGAGGTCCTGATCCCTCTATATAGATCTTTATTATCACTAGAGGGGTCCCCAGCAGGAGGAAGGAGGTCCTGATCCCTCTATATAGATCTCTAGTTAGACCTCATTTAGAATACTGTGTCCAGTTCTGGAGACCCTGTTTGTGAAAAGATATTGATAACACAGAACCAGTATAGAGACTGGAAACAAAAATGGTGGAAGGTCTGAGGGATAAAACGTATCAGAAGAGACGGCAGGAACTTACTATATACAGTCTGGGGGAAAGAAGGGAAAGGATGGACATAAGTGAAACCTTTAACCCCTTCATGACTGAGGCCCTTTTTTCATTTTTTGCACCCATGTTATATTCCACATTTTAGGCCTGAAAATGACGTAAAACCCCCCAACATTATATATTTTCTGAATGCCAAGATCTTCTTTTCTGTCTCTCCTTATAGATCTTTCTATTCCTATCTCTTCTGCTTTTTATCTCTATCTCTCTACATCATTGATACATACATTCCTTTAGGCTTGGCATACACATCCATAGCACTGGCACATGTATCATAGGCTTGGCGGATCTGCCCCCGGAGATGGAGCGATGACTGTGTACTGGGGAGAGGAAGCCACATCCAGACCTTCTGCTATTGACTCATCCCTCTGATATTTCAGATAATGGAACGGATATATTGTTTTGTGTGCTTTGTGTTTTCCGTCTGTGCTGAGGCTGGCTTGGGAGGGAAGAAGGAAGAATACTGGACTGCAGAAGTGACCATGGGATAGATAGATAGATAGATAGATAGATAGATAGATAGATAGATAGATAGATAGATAGACAGATAATAGAGAGCTAGATAGATAGATAGATAGATAGATAGATAGACAGATAATAGATAGATGATAGATAGATAGATAGATAGATAGATAGATAGATAGATAGAGAGATAGACAGATAATAGATAGATTATAGATAGATAGATGATAGATAGAAGGATAGATAGATAGATAGATAGATAAATAGATAGATAGATGATAGATAGATAATAGATAGAGAGATAGATACATAGATAGATAAAACAAATTGTAGTCTGCAGTAACACAGATTATAACCTGGTACACACTGTGCTCCCCGTATACCACACAACGGGGTCCATAAACTTTTTTTCCGTGTACTTACTATCACCCTCCACCTTCTCTGGCGTCCGGAACCAGATGACCTGCCTGGTGTCCATCTTGACCTGGAATGTCCGTCTTTCCGGCCGCTGGGACTTCTTCTGATAGAAGAGGGTCAGCACCGACCCGGTCTCCAGACACCTCATGATCCGATTAACGTCCCCGGCCTCCATCCGGTGGTCTTCCAGGAACCCGTTCATGTTGGCCAGCCGGCACCCCGACATCCTGGGGTGGGAGGGGGGAGGGCAAGGTGGTGGGTCTCCTTACGGCCTGCGACCCGTCCGAACTCTCGGCTCGATCCGCCAGTCCAGGGCGCCCCGCATCACCAGAGCCAGAGTCCTGAGTGATCCTCACCCACCGTCTGGGGTCTATGAAAAGTCCAGCAGCCGTCCCCTGAACGATAAACGATCACATTCATCAAAAATAAAAAAGGATTACCCAAATGGGAAGGGCGGGAGTGGTGTCCGAATGTTCCCGAGTGTGGATTGTTCCTGGCTCCGGAGCCGGACAAGTGGTGTGTGCTACAGATGGAGGATCCGGAGCCCTCCTAGACCCACCCTTCAGATTGGATCTGTGGCCCCTTTGGACGGACCCCTCCTTCGTCCAGGCGATTTACACCCAAGAGCCTGGCCCGGCCAGGATGTGCAGCAGCACCGGGAGGGGGGGGGGGCTCAGGCAGACGCCCTGTCCTGCAAGAGTTAAACGAGGCAGCGAAGAGCGCTAATGGACTTACACGGATAATGTCCTCTATCTAGGATGCTCCCAAGGGACCAAACCTGGTAATGCTGCCAATGATCTGGTGTAGGCAGGCAGCTCCGCTTAATAGCATGATAATGTCCAGCATAATGGCATGGGAAAAAAAGAAGAGAGGTTTGTATGAGGTCTCTGCTAATCATCAGTGTAATCCAATTTCAGCAGCATCAGCCTGCAGCCGCAGTCTGTGCAAGGTGCCTCATCGCAGGGTGGGAGAGGGCAGCCCTGCGTCCAACACACAGCAGCAATGAGAGGAGCCGAGGATGTGCAGGGCACACATCAATTCCCCCCCAGGGGCTGCACACAGGGCTGAGTCTGATGGAAGCTGGCAGCAGGACTGACAGGTCAGGACAGAACCTTATCTTGCAACAGCAGATCTCAGCTGCTCTCTGATCCCAGACTGCTGCAATGGACGCCCAGAGGAAACAGCAATCACACATGGCCGGAAAGAGAACAGAAGGGAATTAGAGAGAAAAAAAAAAAAAAATATTTGCTGGATCTTGGAGTTAAGAGGAAAAAAACATCAGAACAGCAAACAGAGCTCGAGGGCGCCATCTAGTGGGCGATTAGGGGAAGTGCAGGGCAGAGAGCCAAAAACAGGTGTATGGGTGTCTCAGGTCAGGGAGAGAGAGAGATGGCAAACAAATTGTAGTCTGCAGTAACACACATTATAACCTGGTACACACTGTGGTACCACACAACGGGGCCCATAAACTTTTTTTATGTACTTACTATCACCCTCCAGCTTCTCTGGTGTCCGGAATTAGACAACCTGCCTGGTGTCCATCTTGACCTGGAATGTCCATCTCTCCAGCTGCTGGGGCTTCTTCTGATAGAAGGTCAGCACCGACCCGTTCTCCAGGCACCTCATGATCTGACTGATGTCACCGGCCTACATCCGATGGTCTCCCAGGAACCTATTCATTTTGGTTTGTGTGCACCCCGACATCCTGGGCATCCCGGGGTTGGGGGCAAGGTGCGGTTTCTTTATGACCTGCGAACTATCCAAGCGCTTAGCTCGATCCGCCTGTAGGCGGGGTTCTCTCTCGGGGTGTTGCGTGTGTGTTCCCTTTGGGTTGACTGGGTAACCCCGTGCATGCAACTCGAAACCAGACACCCCACGGTCAGGGGCCACGGCCTTGGCCTCGTGCAAACACTCCCACACGTGTAGTCCTGCGTACACAGGGCCTCATGGCTTCAACCGCCTCTGCGGCCTTCGGCGCTTCCTCCCCCTTAGGGAGAAAGGCCACCATGAACGGCACCCTGTGTCAGGCATAGCCCCATTGCGCACCTACCCTCCTCAGATGGTTACAGCCACTATACAGTCCAACATCACACTCCGGTAGAACCTTCTCAGAGGTTGGAGGGAGAAGAACCAGTCCACACAGATAGTCTTTTTGTTGGTTTTACTTGAAGGTATAAACAGAACAAAGTATACGATCAGCCACCCCCGGGTGGGATGACGGCACAATTCTTGTTACTTGCTCGGTGATACACTTTAGAGAGAGAGGTACATCAGCCCAGAGTCACGACTTACTTCGGCCAGAGGCCCACTGGCAAATATCGTCAGTACTACAGCTCCTCCATATTCTCAGGAATCCCATCCTTGTCAGTCCTAGCTCGGTGGGTTTCTCCCTGTGGGGAAACTAGGGAATCTTTGTAGCTCTACATAGTCCTAGGCCTGGTCCTGTCCTTCCCATGGACCAGCCTATGTTCAAGAAATCAGTCTCCCTCCGGAGACTCTGCAGCCAGTCTTAGACTTCTGCTCTCCTGTACTCTCTGACTACTTCCCCTCTCGGGCGCCCCCTATAAATCAACTCTCCTGGGACACAGAGTCTTCCCAGGCCAGAGCTGCATCTATCTCCAGAGCCCCATGGGGGCATCTAGTGGCCGTTGGCCATACTGCACCTACCTACACGCCAGCCCAAGGAGCCCCACATCATCAGAGTCCTGAGTTATCCTCACCCACCGTCCGGTGCCTCTCCGTCCAATGAAAAGTCCAGCAGCCATAAAGTGGTTTTGTTGGTTTTCAAAGCCCAGCTCCAGGCAGGATTACCTTCACGGGTTTCAGATACCTTCTCGTTCCTCGGGAAGACCTCACTTTCATGCAGGTATACTTCAATGTCCTGAGTATTAATTAGTTTGTTTATATGCCGGAGGAAGTTTGGCTTCCGATGTATGACCTGGCCTCTCTGGCTGTAAGTGCTGCAGGTCTCATAGACCTTGGCTTAACGGTCGCATCTCCATCCCCCGTCCTCTTGGCCATTTACAGAACAGAGCCTGGACAGGTTGGTTTTGTCAATGGTCAGGACCAATGACCAGGGGGGGCAGAGATGAGGCCATAGCCTCAAGGTCTATGAGACCCGCAGCATTGTTTATAGACCTCAACTGGCTATCATACAACAGAGCCTAGACAGGTGGGTTTTGTGAATGACCAGGAGGACAGGGGGGCGGGGATGAGACCAGAGCATCAAGGTCTATGAGACCCGCAGCATTGATGAAGTCTATAGACCTCAGCGCTACAGTCACATATCCTCCCCCTCTTTTCCTGGCCGTTCACAGAACAGAGCCTGGACCTGTGTGTTTTGTGAATGGCCAGGAGGAGATGAGACCATAGTGTTAAGGTTGATGAGACCTGCAGCATCAGTGAGGTCTGTAGAATCTCAGGCTCTGTTTTATGACTGGTCAGGAGGAGAGGTGCGTCGATATGCGCCCATAGCGCTGAGGTCTATAGACTTTGATGATGCTGCAGAGACCTCACCAATATGGTCACATCTCCAAAACAGAGCCTGGGGCTGTTGTTTTGTGAATGGCCAGGAGGGGAAGGGGGGGGGGGCAAGATGTGACCACAGTACTAAGGTCCACAGGCCTCAACAATGCTGCAGTTCTCACAGGACAGGGGGGCAAGAACATTCCACTGGAGGAAAAAATACCTTATGAACATTCGCTCAGAATTCGCTCTTGTTCCTAAAAGAAGAAACCCCCAAGAACATTCCATCCGAAGAAAAGTTACCTTATGAACACTCGCTCAGAACAGTAAAAAGACTAAGAACACTCGATCCTAATAGAAAATACCCCAAAAAAACATTTGATCCTAAGAGAAAAAAGAATGTTATTTCTAAACTCCATTGTGATAATGAAAAGATTGTTTCATCAGACAATTGGATCAATACATGTATGGTACTAGAGCTGCAGCTAACGATTATTTTCAAAATCGATTAGTTAGCCGATTATTAAGTTCGATTAATCGGTTAATCGGATAAAAAATAAAATAAAATTTAAAAAATGGCTCCCGTGATGGGACTACTAGTTTGTATTGAAATTGCAGTCCATCACAGGAGCAAGCTTGGAGCGGTGGAAGTAAAACAGAAAAAAAAAAAAAGGTGTGGGTAACAATATAGTGAAATGAAAAGTGAAAACAATTATACAGCAATGAATGCAGAATGGCACCGGCTAAAGAGGACTCCAAAACCCAGCAATACATTATACAGCACAATGCAGAATACCACCAGCTATATAGGAGTACAACAAATCCCAGCAACAGTACCTTATAGCTGGTGGTAGTCTGCATTGCGCTGTATAATGTATTGCTGGGATTTGTTGTATTCCTCTATAGCTGGTGGTATTCTGCATTGCGCTGTATAATGTACTATTGCTGGGACTTGTAGTCCTCTATACAGCGCAATGCAGAATATCACCAGCTATATAGGAGCACAACAAATCCCAGCAATACATTATACATACAGTGTACAATGTATTGCTGGGATTTGTATTCCTCTATAGGTGATGGTACATTGCTCTGTATAATATACAGCACAATGTACCATCAGCTATAGAGGAATACCAATCCCAGCAATACATTATAGAGCATCATGTGGGGGAAAGTGCAGGCTTACCTGAGCAGTCTTCCAGCAACTTGTTTCCAAGATCGGACCTGTCTATCGGCGGCTGTCATCCGCCCCACACCTGCTCCTCCTTACTTCTCACCGCGTCCCTGTGCCGATCGTGGATTTGGGCGGGCGGTGAGCGTGAGGTGGGGAGGAGGTGTGGCGTGCAGCGTGTGTGGAGCCGTGAAGAGGGCCAACCAATCAGAAGCCGATTAATCGATGATTGAAAAAGTTGACAACTTTTTCAATAATCGATTATAATCGATTATGTCGATTCGTTGTTGCAGCCCTTTATGGTACAAGACCGATGTATGGGATGAGATCCGGGTTTCGGGTCGGATGTGGGTTTCAGGTGAACCCAGGTTGTTCGCAGTTCACTGGCCCTGCAAACGAGTGCCGCAGTTGGCCGGCTCACATTCCCAGCCGCTGCACTGTAAACAGACGGGTGGGGATCCCAGGTGACATCAATGACCATATTTGGTCAATGACATCATCTGGGATCCCTGGAGGTGTGCTTACATTACCACAGCACTCGGAGTGCAACATACTATACCCCCTATACTCATTCCCCTTGAAGAATGTGGGGGGGCTCCTTATTATAAAGGGGGCAGAATCCATCATAAGCTGCTCCCCCATATTACCCTCACCTCCTTCAAAGGGTATTAGAGGTGGGAAAGGGGCCGTTGTCCCTCATCGATGGGACAAGGGTACCTTGCATGAAAGGGAGCTCTGTCCAATGTTAATAGGTGAGCTACCCTGCATACATATATACAGTATTTATTACTCTTCATTGAACTACAGAACACCCTAACAGAAGATGGGGGAAACCTTCTGTAGTCCTATCCTAGTGTGACAAAGCTGCTGCTCCATAGATAGTACAGTGAGTGAGTGTTGTTACCCCAGGACAGGAAGTGTATTAGTGACAAGAGAACATAGAGAGGAGAAATATCAATGTGGGTGGCTGGGTGCGGCCCCTGGAAATTGCGGCCTAGTGAAGAATTGGACCTTAGCCATTTGTGTCCAGGGGGCAGTGGACCCAAACTGGAATAGAGATAAGGGGGGGAGGGGCACTCTGGGCTACATCAATCGGCCCTGCAATCATGGCAGTATGTGACAATACATGGGCAGCTAATGGGCAATACACCATATTATCGCCATTGCCCATTCACCGCCCATGAAGCTTCACAATTGCTATGAGTGCCAGGAAATGGTGCCATCTATCTGAGTGCGCACAGTGTTCATACTGGGGGACCATATTACTGTAAATTACCCCCCCCCCCCAAAAAAAAAAAAACAACAAAAAAACTCCAATATTTGGGCCCATCACAATGGCTCCATTCCTTCTGCAGGCTCAGAATTATAAAAGTTTTCCCGCCACAGCTCAACTGATACTAAAATGTATCAGAATGCCAATTTTATGGTCCCAGTGTCACCCCTGGAAACTTTAGGGTCCCACAAGGGACAACTCATACTGGTACTTGTAGTCTCCCATGCCGCTGAAGTGAATGACAGGTGCAACAGCCGCTTTTAACATCACATGCCAAACCATATGACAGGCTCCAGCTGTTTCCAAGCGCTGGCATTTTGCCGGTCGCTAGGATACAGCTGTTTACGGCTGCTGGACTGGTCACATGACACGGAAGATGCCGCCATCTTGGAAGTGGGAAAGAAGAACGTGGCGGGTGTCCCACCACTAAGAAAGACGAAGAAGCGGCACCCGGAGCTCCTGCTTGGCCGAACGGTATATACTTCCTGCAGAAATGACAGTGCGCAGCTTAACAGGCTCGGTTGTCAGGGGGAATTAGGCAATCTGCCAGCTTTCATCATGGCGGTGGAGGGAAAGAGAGGGGGCGGGGTAGTGGAATCGGGAGCGCTTCGCTGATGACGGAGAGACAGCAGCCGACATGGAGGAGGAAAGAGAGAGTCTGAGGAGACAGATCCAGCAGCTGCAGGGTGAGTGGGTTGTGGAGATTAGGAACCATGGTGGCGTCAGAGGAGAGGG